GACCCACGCTCGAGCGTGGGACTTCACGCTCGAGTGTACACTCTGAGTCGTGCATCTCCGCTCGAGCGTGTAAAGTCCCGCTCGAGCGTGAAATGCATATTCCCATAAGTTCATGTGTTTTATAGTCCGCTCGAGCAAGAGAGTTCACGTTCGAGCGAGGACTTGAGTCTCACGCTCAAGCGGAAGTCGAGCGTCCGTCGAGCGTGAATTGCATGCATCCAGTACTTTTCATGAAGTTTGCAGTCCACTCGAGTGGAGGAAGTTACGCTCGAGCGGAGCTCCTTTGTCTGCATGTCCGCTCGAGCGTAGAAAGCCACGCTCGAGCGAGACCCCTGTTTTCTGAAAATTTTGAAAAGTGTTTTAAAGTGCATCTTTGCATCCTCTTTCCATACTAGGCATTCCTAGGCCTAGTTTAAGAAATCTTAATGAGGATATTGAGATAGAACCACACCAAGTCAAGATAAGGATTAAGTCATTACTCCCAAGTGTGTAACTTTGTGTGTGTTCGTTCTATTACTGTGTAAGGTTGGCATCCGAGGATGCTCAATAGCTTGCCTATAGCCTAGTACTCTGTGAGTAACAATGTTGTAAAGATATGTTCAATGATGATTATTTCCTGAACAATTAACCATACTGTTTTCTGAAATGATATTGTTTACTGAATGAATGATGTCCTATTTAGGAACTGTACTCGTGGTATCCATAGCAACTTACTATTACTGTACTGTTACTGCTACTGACACAGAGATCTCTGTCGGTTCCAATACTTGGAACCAATACTGTATACTTTTTCTGAAAATTTTGAAAAGTGTTTTAAAGTGCATCTTTGCATCCTCTTTCCATAATAGGCATTCCTAGGCCTAGTTTAAGAAATCTTAATAAGGATATTGAGGTAGAACCACACCAAGTCAAGATAAGGATTAAGTCATTACTCCCAAGTGTGTAACTTAGTGTGTGTTCGTTCTATTACTGTGTAAGGTTGGCATTCAAGGATGCTCAATAGCTTGCCTATAGCCCAATACTCTGTGAGTAACAATGTTGTAAAGATATGTTCAATGATGATTATTTCCTGAACAATTAATTATACTGTTTTCTGAAATGATATTGTTTACTGAATGAATGATGTCCTATTTAGGAACTGTACTCGTGGTATCCATAGCAACTTACTGTTACTGCTACTGACATAGAGATCTCTGTCGGTTCCAATACTTGGAACCAATACTGTATACTATTATGATGGCCATCAATTGACTGTTCGGTCTGTTAAGACCTACTGTACTGTTTTGCTATTGGATATACCACATATAACTGCTATGGTTTCTAAATGACTGATATGACTGTTTAATTACTAAAAAGACATTCATTCTTAACCTCTTTACATAACTGTTATTCACTGGGCTTTAGCTCACTGTTTCTATATATATGTAGGTGTCCAGGCACCGGACCAGAGCTAGGAGCGTCGGGTTAGCTCTGTTTTTTCTAAGCTAACCATTGTGCCTCACCTCGAGGTTCCAAGTCCGTTCAAGCCACGGCTATTTTGGGGGTGTTCAGATTCACCCTTCCGTCTCCGTTTTGTATAAGTGTTATAGACTCCTATTGTACAGTTATGGCATAGAGATTGAATCCCTAACTTGTATGTTTTGTTTATGAATGTGGGTTGCTTATAAAAGTCTTTTCACAATTAGACTTTCACAGTTCATTGGACATCTTTTATTTATTGTTTTGGCTTCCGCCAGCCCCTTACTCTGTATTACTGTCATTACTGTTAAGCAGGCCTTTGGTAATCACTGATTACTGGCCGGTTACGATGCTTAAACCCATAGGGGCGAGTTTGGATCGTGACACTATCATCAAAATAAACACACTTTTATTTAATCCCTCACCAACAATCCACACATTAACAATCTCTTCACTAACAATTTTTTCACTAATAATCTCATCCAACCTAATCTGTCAAACAAACGTGGCCTTAGGCTTGGTTTGGGATACACCATATAAGTATATTTTTTATCTTTTTATTTTTTAAAATTATATTATTTTTAATTTTTTTATATCTTTTCGTAAAAAGTTAAAAAATATATTTATTTTCCAAACATTTTCTACTAAATAAATAATTAAATATCTATGAAATATTTAGTTATTTATTTGGTAATAAATTTAAGACGTATAATATTTTTCTTTTAAAAATAAGTAGAACTATATCAAGGTGGAAGAAAGAAAAAAAAAAATATCAATACATGAAGGCATAAGTATATTTGTGGTGGGATGTAAATGAAAGATTGTGGAGATACAAGCATCACTTGTACTCCCTTATGCGTTGATAATTATTTCTTCCTTTTCTTACATACATGTAATTCTCCCTAAAAATAATAGGAAACTAAATGCAGATGGAAGAATGGAAAAAAAAAATTACCAACACAGGGGGTGCAAAGGAAAGACTGTAAGGGTACAAGTGTCACTTACATCCCTCATATGTTGGTAATTTTTTTCCCTTCTCCCATTTGCATATAGTTCCCCAAAAAATAATTTTAAAAAAAAATTTCTTCATACATTATTTTGGCTTTAAAAAAAGAAAAAAGAAAAATTATATGTCAATGGTAATTTAAGAAAATTATTACATATGAATGGAAATGTTATAATTTTAATTATTAATATTGATAAAGTTTATCATTAATTTGTAATTAATTCTTAAATTCTACACTGATATGAAATTTTCGCTTAAAATAAGAGTTAAATTCATTTAACTTTCCCGTGATTTGGGACTAGAACACTTTATCCCTAGTTCAAATATAGTCAGAAAGTTTTTATGTGATTTTGGATTAAATTATCATAGATAATTTTTTCATCCAAATTAATAGAAGATATATCACACATTATTTTTTAAAATAAATTTTATTTCTTGAAAAAATAAAGTGAAATTGATATAACAAACGCCAATGTTATCTCGTTTTCTCTATTCTTAAAATTAGATTAATATATTAATTAAAATATAATTAAGAACTGATTTAAAATATAAAATAAATAATAACTAAGAATGGATATAAAAATATAATTAAATTAAAATTAGATTAAAATCATAGGAATTATAATAAATAATTAAGAATTTAGAATTAATTATCATCTAAAATATAATTAAAAATTAAGAATTATAATTATAATTAATTGTGATTTAATTGAATTAATATTAGGCATTATAAATTATGTGTATGAGATATAAGAAAGAAAAAATAACAAAAAAAAAGAAGAAGGGTTTGTGATCATTTTACATTTATAGTTAACAGTGTTAACGGTTATACTTAAGTCCAAAACCACATAAAAACTTTAGGGCTATAATTGAATCATAAGAGGTAAAGTGTTTTGATCTCAAATCACAAAGGGTAAAATAAATTTCGCCTTAAAAAATTGAGATAAATAAGTAGTGATATTTTTAAATTTATTTTTGTTTTTAAGTTAATAAAAAGGAAAAAACTGAATCGATGCAAATTCATTTTTATAACAAATTCAAGATCCAAATATATTATTTTATTTTCTTATTATTGATGAACTCTCTTTTCTCTAACTTGTCTCTTTAATAAAAAAAAATTGGAACTAAACAAAGTGAAAGGTTAAATTTATTTTATTTTTAACTTAATAAAAGAGAAAAAAAATGAAGGAATATATACAAATTCATTTTATTAACCATACTTACATATTTCATTTTTTATTTTCTTTGTCAAATTAAAGATCCAAACATGTTATTAACTTCTATTTCTCTTTTATTTTTCTTTTCTTTTTTTTCTTTTTTTTTTTAACTATCTTTTCTCCAACTCCAACATATCTCTAAATTAGCTCCACTAATATTTTCATTATAAATCTTTATAGTTGCACCTAATTATTTAATCTTGTTTTTTGTGTCATCATTTCAAAGTAAATCAACTATGCCTCCGTCTGGGAAGTGGGTTGGTTTTTTGACTTTTTAATTTTTTTGGTTATTTTAACTTGGGGTTAAAAAAGCCTAGTTTAAAAAGGACTTTTTTAACTTTTTGGTGAAATGTCTTCCTGTTAAATTACCAAACTGCCCTTCCCAAACAGATACCGCTGAGGCAATGAAAGTGGTCCTCCACGTCAGCCAACGTTTGGACCGAAATTGTTATTGGTTTTTTTTTTTTCTTTATTTTGGGTTTGGATTTAGCATATTTTGCTTAATTTTTTTTATTTAAAAATTAATGTTTTTGTCATTTTTTTTATACATTAATTAGTTCTTGTTCTTTAATTTACGTTTTTTGCCTTATTTATTTTTATTGGTATAAAATAAATTTTTTTTTTTTTTTGAAAAATGAGTTTTCATGTGTTTTATTTATTTGTAAATTACATGGCGAATGGTAATTTATGTTTTCATATATTTTTTTTAAATATTTTCAGATGAGGCGTATTTTTGTCGTTGTTTTTTCTTTTTATTTACGTTTTTCTCATTTTTTTTATTTGTACACATTAATTTGCTTTTATATTTCAAAAATGAGTTTTCATGTGTTTTATTTATTTGTAAATTTCGTGGCAAATGCTAATTTATGTTTTTTTGTTTGTTTTTTCCTTTTTTTTTATGAGGCGTATTTTTGTCGTTCTTTTTTTTTTTTTAATTTACGTTTCTGTAATTTCTTTTTATTTTTTTACATTAATTTGTTTTTATATTTGACAAATGGGTTTTCATGTGTTTTATTTATTTGTAAATTACGTGGCAAATGCTAATTTCTATTTTTATGTTGTAATTTTTTTTTTGTTTGGATGAAATTCATAATTGCTCTCATATACAATAATAAAAGAATTTTTAAAAGAATTAACTAAAAAAAATTCAGAATTTTTTTAAAAAGAATTAACTAAAAAAATGAAATTCATAATTGCTCTCATATACAATAATAAAATTACTTAAATTATTGATTTCAAAATATTTTTAATATCATTAAAAATTATTAATTGACTTGATTTAATAATAAAAGGGATGATTTATTATAAAATTAAAAATTCAACGCTGCTACAGACCTCGACAAAGTGAGGCGCGAATACCTCGAATTGAGCTGGCAGTTCAAACTCTGGGTACATTTCACGCGCCTTACTCAGTGTACATCTCACGAGCCTTGAAGACTGAAGAGAACAAATCTGCGTATCTAGGAGATAGAGAGACAGACGACCACAACCCAAGGGCTTAACCCCGACGACGACGACCTAGGTGGCCACCGACGACAACGAAGACCATCGTTGAGCATCAACCATGGTCTAGCAGCCTCCAATTCGTCCAGTTTCTTTGAAAAGTTCAACCTCCAACGACCAACAAGCAACTGATTCAAGGTATTGCTTCAAACACATTCTTTGCTTTACCTTGGTTGAAATTTTCTTGGTCCATGATTTTGTTTGATACATGAAATTTTTTTGGTCCATGAAATTTTCTTTGCTTTAATTTGTTTGATACATGATTTTGGTGTTTTGTATTCATGCATTCTAGGTGTTTGTTGAAAATCCACATAGAAAGATTTTGTTTGGTTATCACCAAGCCCTTTACATTGTTTGTTAGCCACATGTGAGCATACTTCTATGATAAATTAGCAGCAGATGCAATAGCTAGTGAGTTAGCAACCTGTGAGTTAGCAGCAGATGCCTAAACTTAGCAACAGGAAATTACAAATGCACATACCCATTGAACAAGTTCCTATGATGAATTCTTGACAAGAGAATGAACTTGAGACAAAAAATTATTTTTAATTTCCTAAGGAAAATAAATGTTGAAACTTTTATCATGGACATACATACTACCCTGTCCAATTTTGGTTTGATTAATTTCTTTTTTTAACATTTTTTTGTTTTGTTTTGGCCTTAGTTTCCTGTTAAGTTTGGGTTAGAAATGAGTTATGATAATTATTTGTCTTAGGCTTGTGTATATGATGTGAATTTTTAAAGTGGAAAAACTTGTAAAAGAAGATGATAAAAAAAAGTACAGTCCTAGCATTGAATAGGACTTGTAAATAGAGGCAGTTTGCTTCAATCTGCAGTAATGGTGGGATAATACTGATCAATTGTTGGTTTCTTCTTGGTTTCTTTTTTGGTTTATACATATATTGTTTTTGAACATTATAATAACCGTGATTGTTTTTTCTTCAGGATATTGCAAGTGCAGAACTTGCTCCAACACATCCAATCCGGCTTGGACTTGCTCTTAACTTTTTTGTATTTTACTATGAGATTTTGAAATCTCCTGACCGTGCTTGCAATCTTGCCAAACAGGTGAGCTATTTTGAATTTGACACTATTGTTCTATTTTCCTGTATATTAAACACAGAATGATCTCCCAAAATTGATACACCTACTGGTGAATGCATAGATCTGGACATTAGCTCGTTAAAGATTCTATGTTCCCCAACAGTAGCCTAAAAGCATAAAGGCTTGTATCTTTAGGAAACATACTCTTACATATAAAAATGCAAGTGTCAATCAGATAGGGATATAATGAAGGTTTCACCTCACATTTTATGTAAATTGAGTTTATTCATTTACAATTATTATTATTATTGCTCCTTTTTAGCACTAACTAAGCCCTATATTTATGAATTTGAACCTATAATCTTGAAAGAGCAACAAAATGATGGAAGGGTCAAACAATCGGTTTATCGTCTAGGGGCAGCTTTCTGAGTTCGGTCTAAAAAACTAAGAAAGCTGGTCTAGTCCCAAGGCCTAAATCAGTTGTGGAATGAATAAAGTTACTTCGGTTAAGCTTCTAGGGGCGGCTTTCTGAGTTCGGTTTAGGAACCAAGAAGACCGGCTTGGCCCCGAAAGCTTAGTTCGGTTGACAACCGAAGTTCCTAGTTTCCTATATTCAAAATGTGGTGGTCTTATTTCGGCTAAAGTGAGTTAGGCTCTGGTAACCCATTGAAGTTTTTAAGTTCTAGTTCGGTTCTTGACTACAGAGATCTACCTGTGGGGGCAAACAGGATCCTAGTTCGGTTACTATGTGATTTTGGATCTAGGGCTGTTTTCCTACAAAATAGTTCATACATGCATGGAGTTCTACTGGTTTCTTCATAAAAAGTACGAAAGCAAAGCAGATAAATGGAGAAAAATGTTTGCAAAAAACATACAAGGCATGGAAAGTAAAATACGAAAACATAGAGAGCAAGATGATTAGATTTTCTTACTGGAAAAGAGAGAAAGGAGACTGGGGTCGGAAACGGTGGCAGCAAGAACACAAGCTTGAGTATGGAAGGGCACAGAAAGAAGATGAAGACAGGGAGAGAAGGTAGATGCAGATAAATGATTCAGAAGTGGGAAAGTTATTTTGTGAAAAGGGACTGTCCTGTGTAAAAGCAGAAAGGGCGGGAACTGTTTCAAATTCACGAAGCACGAAGACGGTGTGACAGCCGTCCTTAGCCAACCAAAACATGCCACGTGTATACGGAATGGGAAGCGTTACAGTCGCGATTGAAGAGACGTTTTGACCGGACAAAATAGAGCCCGGAGTAGGTTTAGCTTGGCTGGATAGGCTTAAACGATGTTCTAGTTCGGCTAGAAAAACTTGAGAACATCTAGCTCGGCTGGACACTTAGTAATCCCAATCATGCTATGCAGATGAAATTAAGGGGCAATTGAGAGGGTAATTTTTGGGTTGAAATTTTCTTGGTCCATAATTTTGTTTGATACATGAAATTTTTTTGGTCCATGAAATTTTCTTTGCTTTAATTTGTTTGATACATGATTTTGGTGTTTTGTATTCATGCATTCTAGGTGTTTGTTGAAAGTCCACATAGAAAAATTTTGTTTGGTTATCACCAAGCCCTTTACATTGTTTGTTAGCAACATGTGAGCATGCTTCTATGATAAATTAGCAGCAGATGCAATAGCTAGTGAGTTAGCAACCTGTGAGTTAGCAGCAGATGCCTAAACTTAGCAACAGGAAATTACAAATGCACATACCCATTGAACAAGTTCTTATGATGAATTCTTGACAAGAGAATGAACTTGTGACAAAAAATTATTTTTAATTTCCTAAGGAAAATAAATGTTGAAACTTTTATCATGGACATACATGCTACCTTGTCCAATTTTTGGTTTGATTAATTTCTTTTTTTAACATTTTTTTGTTTTGTTTTGGCCTTAGTTTCCTGTTAAGTTTGGGTTAGAAATGAGTTATGATAATTATTTGTCTGAGACTTGTGTATATGATGTGAATTTTTAAAGTGGAAAAAATTGTAAAAGAAGATGATAAAAAAAAGTACAGTCCTAGCATTGAATAGGACTTGTAAATAAGGGTAGTTGGCTTCAATCTGCAGTAATGGTGGGATAATGCTGATCAATTGTTGGTTTCTTATTGGTTTCTTTTTTGGTTTATACATATATTGTTTTTGAACATTATAATAGCCGTGATTGTTTTTTCTTCAGGATATTACAAATGCAGAACTTGCTCCAACACATCCAATCCGGCTTGGACTTGCTCTTAACTTTTTTGTATTTTACTATGAGATTTTGAATTCTCCTGACCGTGCTTGCAATCTTGCCAAACAGGTGAGCTATTTTGAATTTGACACTATCGTTCTATTTTCCTATATATTAAACATAGAATGATCTCCCAAAATTGATACACCTACTGGTGAATGCATAGATCTGGACATTAGCTCGTTAAAGATTCTATGTTCCCCAACAGTAGCCTAAAAGCATAAATGCTTGTATCTTTAGGAAACATACTCTTACATATATAAATGCAAGTGTCAATCAGACAAGGATATAATGAAGGTTTCACCTCACATTTTATGTAAATTGAGTTTATTCATTTACAATTATTATTATTATTATTGCTCCCTTTTAGCACTAACTAAGCCCTATATTTATGAATTTGAACCTACAATCTTGAAAGAGCAACAAAATGATGGAAGGGTCAAACAATCCAAGTGAGGAAGTTCAAGAACCGCAGAGTGGTGAAGTTGAAGAACCTAAGCAGAGGATGTGTTTTACCTCAAAGCAACAAGTGTTTGCATTTTATGCAAAATATGCGAAGCACCTTGGATCCAAATGCCCCATTTTATTTTTAGTTTTGCAGTAGTAATTTTATGACTTTGTTTTGTGAGCTTTGGATACTTCGGTTTGATTATGTAGAAATGTTAATGGTTGGAATGTGACTTATCATTGGAATGGGTTTTGGCTTCATTCAATTTTGGTTCAAATTGTAGTGTAATGCTTTAAATTGGTTTGTTCATGATTATGAATGAGTGATCTTGAATTAGTTTGTTCAGATTGTATGACTAATGTTGAATGTTCCAAATGTTGATGCTGAATGTTCCAAATGCTGAATGGGTTTTGGCTTCATTAAATTTTGGTTGCAGTTGTTTGTCACGAAATATGGTGAATGTTGAGAGTTAGTTTTGGTTCAAATTGTGTAATGCTTTAAACTGGTTTGTTCATGAATGAGTGATCTTGAATTAGTTTGTTCAAATTGTATGACTGATCTCGAATGAACAAACCAGCACAAAACTATTTTGAGAGTGATCTTGAGAGTCCAATACTATTTTCCAATTGTATGAGTGATCTTGAGAGTCCAATACTATTTTCCTGGAAGCATACAGTTTATAACAAAAAAATTTTTATTCCAGCAAACTCCACTATTCCTGGAAGCATACATTTTTTTCCACCAACAAAACATTTATAAATTCATGCACATAATGGCTGTTCAATTGCTAACATTCATTCAACACCCTGTTCATTTACTATACAAAAACATTCATTCATTCATTCACAAGAAAAGGACTGTTCAACAAGAAGGAAAAGCTAAAACATTCATTCATTTTAAAGATAAACCAGCACAATAACATCTAAGTTTACAACATTCATTTTCACATTAAACATATTAACAACATTGTTTCTTTCAAAATCATTCTTCTCCCCCTCATCTTCATTATTCCTATGAATAGAATTAGGCCTCCATTGGATATTTGATGCATCACCATGTTGGCTAGTGGGTACCCACCATGCAAAGTAATCGCCCCCACCATCTGCACACTTGAAGTAAAGCCTCCTTGGATTTTTTTGTGAGTCTGATATCTTAACGACTGCTTTTTTGCCACATTTGCAACCTCGATTTTCAAAAAGGCGACCATTGATGGTTGAACTAGTGGAGGTGTAAGCCATTGACATGTTACTCCTAATAGTGGCATTTTATCACATAATTAGTACATTATTCAGCAAAAAAAATAAAAAAGCTGCCTCCATTAATAATGTCAAATAGCCCATGGAATTACTACATTATTCAACACCAAAAAAAAAAAAAAAAAAAAAAATTTCTCCATTAATAATGTCAAATGGCCCATGGAAGCACAAAGCATAATTTATGGTTGCACATAATTTTGAATTTACTGAAACCAATCTGGTTATTAGCTTGAGATTTGGTGTTAAATATACTTAAGTTACTGCACATAATATGGTTGCAAATAATATAGTTAAACCAATATTAAGTTACTGCACATAATATGGTTACTGCACATGATATGGTTAAACCAAATATACTTAAGTATACATAATATGGTTAAACCAAATATACTTAAGGTATTGCACATAATATGGTTAAACCAATCTGCCCATAATATGGTTGCACATAATTTTGAAGTTATTGCAAAATCCAATTTACTTTTCCAATCAAAGTCCTCCCAATACAAATTGGGGGCTGCACTGCAAATCAAGAACATAATTCTCAATAAGGATGGTGTTGTTAAATAAGTCTCAAGGAAATCATGTATTTTACTTGAAAGAGCAGTAGGCAGGAAGGAAGCAATCATCTATCTTAATTTTGCACAACATATTGGCATTGTTATGGTGTTATATCTACACCTAGAATTGTATCCCAATTTATCTGTCTCTTAAAGCTATAGAGGATATAAGTAGAGTAATAGGGAAGCAGGCGTGATTGTATTGTTATAGAAGAAAGTCTAAAGAGAGGTAAGGAAAGCACTCACCTATTATACATTTGACAACATATACTATTAAACCTTCAATATAAACTACTCCATCTATTTAGCAAGGCTTTGGTGTTATAGAGTTCCATTTGATATATATTGGAAAAATTATACTCAATGGAGATTAGCTGCAGCTACTTCTTTTTTTCTTTTATGTTAGAGACTTATATATTAAGTATTCATGGCAAGGCGACGATTCTTCATATAAAATGGCCCATGGAAGCAACAAAGCATTTCATTGAGGCATTTTATCATACACTTGCAATGCAAAATGTAAGTCTAGAGAGAATCACACCTACTTTCAATTCTTTTGGCACTCAACAGTTGGCACTCCAGAAAAACAACAACAACAAACAACAACAACAAACAAGAACTTTTGAAATATCACACAGCTTTTCATTATGGGATTAAATGGAAAGGATTTATAAAATTAAAAAAAATACAAAAATAAAAGCAAAAATCTGTGGCACACGACGGTTGGCACTCCAGAAAAACAAGAACTTTTGAAAAATCACACAGCTTTTCATCATGGGAATTAAATGGAGAAAAATAAATAAAAACTGACCTTTTGTTGGTTGTCAATGGAGGAGATTTGGGGATCTAGGGCTTGGGTTGGGTAAACAAAGCAATGTGGCTGGAAGCCCTCCACTGCCGAACCGAATCACTTT